TGATTACTAGCTTACACATTCACATGGGCTTGTTTCATTAAACGCCACAAATTCTCATGTTTCCAGGACTTTGAATCAAGATACAAGTCAGAGGACAAATTTTTATTTTAATAAATATTAACCACCCTGTTTGTGGGGATCTGGTAGTAGCCTATACTTTGAAACAAATGAGTATGGATAGAAAAATGCCAGTTTAGCTCACTTTCCTATTAATGTGAGAATTATTTCCTATTCAGCATTCATTTCTGTTTCTTATATATTAAATATGACCATTTTTAAGATGAGATTCTTGTGAAGATTATTTTGAAATTCTTTTTTAAAATTCAGTTTAATCTCCAAGTATTAATTTACTGTTATCCTAATATACGTTTTAAAAAATAGAATCAGTGATTCAGAGTTTGATGTTCTAACTTACTACTTAATGTGTGACTGAGGCAAAGCTATCCATTTGCTTTTCATTTAAATTTAGTAATTATTAAAACTGAAATACTGTTGTATTTGAACATTTTAATTTCTGTAGACTATATCTCAGACTACTTGGCATAAAGTTGCAGATTAGCAGCTAGTGCAAATATAACATCAGTTTCCTCTGTGTCCCCTTTCTCTTGTACATGCTGAAAGAGGTCCAACCAATTCGTGGTACAGGGAACTTACCTGACACAATAACGTAGGAAGAGTTTCAGCACAACTCTGATGATAAGAACAACAATCATGACTAGAAATGCTGAAATTCTTGAATGTGCTGTCACTTTGCAATAAAGGCGAGTGGCGAGTCAATATGAGAAAACATGTCAGTTTTATTACAATCATAGAATTAAGAAAGATAAGGCCGTCAGAAAGAGTAGTCATCTCGGCTCCTTAATTTTACATGGAATGAATCTGATATTTGGTAATACCCAAAGATCTAGATGTATTTCATGTAAAATAATTCTCCTTTGTAAGGAGACACTGGAGGTTCTTGTTATTTTTATAGATATTTTCAGGTGTGCATGTATTCGTGTATGTGTTTGGGTGAGTCGGAGTTGTGGATGTATGTAGAACTCACACTACACCCGTTTTAAGGAGTCTTAGGGTACTGTAAACTTTTCTAATTTGTAAACAAAGCCATTCAACCCCTTTTATACAATCCAGGGATGTCTTTATGAAATTTCCCTGAAGAAATTCATCTTAGATATTATTCTCGAGTAAAGCCTTGCTTCTCCTATGCATCTGAACTTTTTTCTTAGGCACCACAAATCCTTCTCAAGATCACCAGGAGATTACCATGTTCCACTCACTTCATTGATAACACCCGTACATTCTACGATTGGCATCATCTTTGTTTTGCCCCAAGTTGAGCTTAGAGATGAGTTTGTCACAAAGTTTTAATAATTTTAAAAGTCTGTGCCATATACCTGCTGAATGTTTAATTTACCCAGTGAGACTTTTAATCTGTAGAGAAGACATAGAATAACTATTTCATAAATGAATCAATGAAATTATGTATCTTATATCTAGGCACCATGTCTCTGATTTCACTTACAGAACTCACAGCCTATCTCATCTTTATAATATAAAGTTGTCAGTAACTTCATTTATTGCCTATGTTTCCATTATGTGACTGTAGGGTAAACATGTGCAATAATTCTGTAGGGTGCCGTTCTAGTTGAAGCTGCACTTAGCAAACCTTGTGTGAGTTCCAAATTCAGAAGGAAAACAACAAAACAAAACTTTTTCCTCCAGCTACCAGCCTCTGTGTCCACAGGAGGCAGCGCATAGCATACCATGGAAGACATTTTCCACTCACAGTAATTCTATAGGGCAGAGTAGAACTGCCCCATGGGTTTCAAAGACTGCAAATCATTTTCAAAGCCGACAGCCAGTGGCAGAGTTGTGGCTCTCTCTCACTGCCCATCTGGTCGATGCTGACTTGTAGTGACCCTGTAGGTTTCAGAAACTGTTTACAGGGGTAGAAGGCCCGTCTTTCTCCCAAGGAGCAGTTGGTAGTTCAGAACTACCTGCCCAAAGTGTAACCACTGCACTCCCAGGGTTCCTGAAACTCCTGGTCAGCAGTTCTGTATTTAAACACTTGTGCCAACAAATCTCCTTCTGTAGCATAGTATGGTAAATCAAAAAAAGGTTTGTTTCAGATTATGAGTTGAACCTAAACTGTGAATCATTTTTGAAGATGTTACTTTGTTCTCATTGGTGCCTTGGTGGGGAAGTTGGAATGCTAACTACAGTGTTGGCAGTTCAAATTCACCAGCTGTTCCACAGAAGAAAGAAGAGGCGGTTCTGCTGTTAGAAAGATTTGTAAAGTCTTGGAACCTCCATAGAGGGTACTTATGAGTCAGAATCAACTGATAGCGATAGGTTTATTATATATATACGTGTATATTTAATATCCTTATGTAAACTGCCATAATATAAATCAAAGCTCTCATTCAGAAATATGTTTGCTCTATTAAAAATGACTCTACTTAATATATGGAGCTAATAGTTTATTAAAATAATTTGATTAGCACTCAAACTCCATATATGTCGATTGAGTTATTTCTCAGTTCCTTCACAATTCCTTCAAAGAAACTACTTTCTGCTCACAGCAAGAAATAAATAAGTGACTTTGTACTAAGATTATTCACTCTTAGCTACCCTCAGCACCACTGATAATTTCTTCCACATAAATCATTCTACCTGAGGTTAGCCTGAATCTTTCCTAGCACTTATATTACACATAATCATATTGTGCTTTTAATTTTTCCCCTGGGAGGAAGGAATTAAAGGAGGAAAGTACATTTTCCATAAAAATGAAGGCTTCTCTTTAGCATTCATCTGTCTGTTTTTATGAGAAGGGTAAAAAGAGAGTCTATTCAAAATTGAAAATATCCATTTATCTTTGTGCTACTGGTGCTGCAGTTCTGTAGGAAATAATGACAGAGACAATTCCATGAGGGAATGCTGAATTGCACTTGTGTTAATGGTTGATACAAAATAAAGCAATTACAGCTAAGTGTTATCTTTTGGGTCGTTGTGATCTCAAAAGACAATTCAAATCATAATTATTCTGCATTTTTTATTTCTTTATGTTTCTTATTTCTAGGTCATGTTTGTCTTTCAATTTTTCAAAATCAGCCATTAATGTGGGACTATGTTCTATCAAGATATTCTTTTAAATATAATAAATTGATTGAAATGTCATACTATAAATGCATAAAGTATTGGAAGCTTTTTTAAAAATGTGCTTTTAAATTTTTAAAAGAAATTCAGTTAAAATGAATTGCTTCTCAATTATCTTCTCAGAATTTATAAATCCAATGATGATGAAGGAAAGTTTAAAATAGCAAAATACCCAAAGAAATATTCCAACTTTACCAGAAACCAGTTGCATTGTGTGATTCCTGCATCTGTTTCTCAGAGCAGTCAGAGAGAATCAAACGAGAACTTTTCCCTGTTTTGTTTCCATACTGAAATCATTTATTAAAAATAAAAGATAGTCTCTATCCCTAAGGATCAATGTTTCTGAACTTAAAATCATAAGCCATGTATTGAATATGATCAAATTTTATTTTACTATGGATATATGTGAATATCTTTCCTTTTAAATCAAACTGAGTAGAACTAAACTAATCTTTTTCCTTAGTAAATACAATATTTATGTGGCACATATATAATTATCCTGCCACTTAGGGGAAGCCTAAGCCATTTACAATGAACAATAGAACCATGCATAAGATCCTAAATGTTTCCCTAAATAACAAATACCTCTCTGACTATGTATTAACATCATACCATCAGTGCTTATTAGTCCTTCATAATTTTGGATATAATTACTATGATTTTTTTGTCAGTTCATCAGATAATAAAATTGTTATTCAACTCAAAAAAAGTAAGGCATGGATTGAAGTTTAGTTTTATAGATTGATTTCCTTCATATGCATTCATTATCTTCCCTTGAAAGTTTACTTTCATAATATTAGATTAATACACATATTTTAAATTTGAGTTTACCTTGGATATAAACTATGTATACTATATTTTCTTGAAATATGATTTTTGAAAATTCTGATTTAAAAGCATTACTCCCCATGAAAGCATGATAATATATTCAGTTATGAGGCAATGATAATTTTTAAAAATATTAAGCTCCTACCATCTATACAGAAGTATTATTAAAATTGTATTATTTGTCAATTCACCAAAAGCAGGAGAAAAGAACTATTGTATTATGACATGAAGAGATTAATAAGAAATATAAAATACAAATAAAATTTTCCATCATTAATTTTATACCTCTTTCTTTTTAGGAAAATCTTTTCCAAAAAATGGATTAGCATTAGCAACATACTTTAAGGAATAGCAAATGAATCTTTATGTTGTAATTCCTCATACAAATAAGTGAGTGTTTTGATAGATGTAATACTGCTGAGTAATCAAAATGGATGAGCATAATTAATTTGTCCAGTCCAGTCTAGGCGTCCATAAAATTATAGCAAACATGACTTTCTCTCTCACATTTATGGAAAAATAGTACTTTATATCCTCATTATATTTTGTTAGTGCACATAAGCCTCTATAATTTTACAAATTCATATACAGTTTTCATGTCATTTGTATAATGAGGCAGCGGGATAAACACCAGACACTCCTTACCAACTCCATTTCTTTTCTCAATATGAAAAAATGTGCATTATCAGTTGGAGAAAAGTCAATATGTAGGAAGTATTATAAATAAATAAGTAAATAAATAAATAAATGTAATGCCTCGTAAATACTGTATTGTCTTTCTTCCTACATTTCCCATTTATAGGCAGTATGAAGTAGAAAAAGAATGTCCATAAATCTATAAGTCATGACATTTAAAAATGGTCTGTATAAATTTATGTTTAGGGCCCTCCTATCCCTGCTTAACAAACAAATATAAAACTCCTCTGGGTAATGCATGAAAAGTAAGTACGGGACCATAGTAGTAATTCTGTAAACTCAGTTTTGCCTGTCTTCTACATCCTGTGTTATGTCGACAGATCTGGGAAATTTTAGCGGCCGGACAAGAAGCGCAGTCTCCGTGCGGGAAGGCCAGGGGGTTGTGCTGATGTGTTCGCCTCCGCCGCATTCGCCAGGTACGGTCGGATCCACGTTCGCTGCTGCTGTGCCGCTGGTCCCCTTGACTGTGTGCTCTTGCTTTTCCGCAGTATCGACTAGACAACCTACCGGGTGAAATGTGCATGGTCTCCTTGTCATGTATCAGAGTGCCAGATGTGTAATTAAGCATTATGGACATTAAACGCCATTGGACAGGAGACTGAGCGCCACTGATAACGTTGTTTTATTGCCAGTCTTGCTGTTTACTTGTTGTGCTTGGGTCCCTGCCTGCCACTGGCAAGGAATATATTGCCTGCAGTACAAGGAAAGTGATAAATCGGGAGAGGAGAAACTTTTCAAAATTGTTTGGGGTGTCAAAGTTGAGTTAATGGAATACCAATGTGCATCTTGTTTCTGATGATAAGCTGGACACTTGGTTGTCTATGGTGTTGTTTGCCACACTGCAACAAAAAAATTGCTTAAGAAACAGTACATTTTATTTTCAAAAATACATATAATTCTGGTCACTGGGGCTGTTGCTCAGAAAAATCCAGGCAAGGGATAACTATCTCACGGGATTTGGCTAACAGAATAGTAAATTTTGTTCTTCATTAGGGAAAAAAAGGTGAATCTTGTCACTTTCCGAACTCACAGACAGTGTGCTTTAATTTGATGTGAGCACCATTATGCAAATCAGCTTAGTTTTTCCTAAACTACTGTTTCTAATGTATTGTGTCCAGCACCACTTGAAATGAGAGCGCTAAGAAAGGTAAGGAGAGGTAGCCGTGGATATGAAGATCGTGAGCGAAAGAGGGAGCAGAAAAGGAATCACCCCATCTACAAAGTTATGAAATCCTTAGACGTGACAACTGAAAGCAGAACTCAGGGTCCTGGTTCTTGAGTCATTTTGTGTTTTAATTACAATGATCTAGTCATATTTATTTTAAGAGTATGTTATCAATGCAGTTACTAATTTGGTATTACCATGAAAATTTTATGTCATAAATAACAAATGATTTAACTAAATCTTCTCAGAGTTGCTCCCCTTGTGTATGATACTCATTCCAACTTTTATTTCAATTGAAGAACAGTAAACTACATTTCTTTTTTTTTTTAATCGTTTTATTAGGGGCTCAAACAACTCTTACCACAATCCATACATCCATCCATTGTGTCAAACACTTTTGTACATTTGTTTCCCTCATCATTCTCAAAACATTTGTTCTTCACTTAAGCCCCCAGCATTAGGTCCTCATTTTTCCCCCTCCCTCCCCGCTCCCCCCTCCCTCATGAGCCCTGTATAATTTATAAATTGTTATTTTGTCATATCTTGCCCTGTCTGATGTCTCTCTTCACCCACTTTTCTGTTGTCCGTCCCCCAGGGAGGAGGTCACATGTAGATCCTTGTCTTCGGTTCCCCCTTTCCAACCCACTCTCCAGTAAACTGCATTTCAGCAGGGAAGTATTCTGGGCAAACATCGGACTGTGAAAGCCGGAAAATAATCACTATCAGTAAATGCCTCTAGTTGTAGCCATTCTGTGCTGCATGCCAGTCCAGTCACTGGTCTTTCTCTGACCGTTTGGAAAATCTACAGTTAGCATGTCTCACCTTCCTTGTATTTAATTTCAATTTAGAGTCTTCCAAGAAAACGGTTTTACTTTTAAAATTATGAAAGATAGACTCACTCTCTCACTCACTCATTGGCTCACACACTCACTGCCTCCCTCACTCACTGTCTCACTCTCACTCACTGGCACATTCACTCACTCTCTCACTCACTCATTGACTCACACACTCACTACCTCACTGCCTCACTCACTAACTGTTTCACTCTCTTACTCACTCACTGCCTCACACACTCATGGCCTCACTCACTCACTGTCTCACTCTCTCACTGACTCACTCTCTCACTATCTCTGACTCACTCTCTCACTGT